CTGGGAATTTATATGTTGCAATGTCTAAACATTTGATAATCTTATCAATCAAGAAAAAGTCTTTCTGACATTTCAATCTCTTTTAACAAATCCTCTTCATAAAATATGTATCAAATAAATCTAAATTGACATTTAAAAATATCTAAATATATTTTATACAGTTAATTTCTAATATGAATATTTATATAAATTGATTTATACGTACGATATACCGGGTGGTCGCAAGTACAGTAGACCACCCCTATAACACTGTTAATTATTACGTTTTATATGAATTCCGTGTTGTACGAGTCACTTAGATTTTACAAATACGTGAGCAGTTCACAGTCCAGCACACGTATTTGTAAAATCTAAGTGACTCGTACAACACGGAATTCATATAACACGGAATAATCAAAAGTGTTATAGGGAGGTCAACTGTATTCCCCTATTCAACGTTGTCTAGAGAGATATTTACCGGTCCAAATGCAATGAAATTTGGTAGGGTGGAATTCCAGACATGAGGAAAATTTCCGTGAAAAAGTTTTATTATCAAAACTCACCACTATGGCAATTTTGGCGCTTTGTATTTTAAACTATGTGGTTTTTGTTTGACGTGTTGTACATTTGGCAGTGTTGAAAGACCGTATTACAATGCATTTCAGAAGAGTCACAGAGGATCAATCACGATAAACCGTTGAACACACGGAAAATATTTTATAACAAAAGAAAATTACTACCGAAACTCTCCGTTGTGGTACTTTCAGCGCTGCAAGCAACGAAAAAGTAGTTTTATTTGTAAGATTATTAAAAAGTTTGAAGATATCTCATAAATTTAGCAGCCTTATAAAGAGGGATCTAAGTGTATATGAGAGGCATCACAGAGGATCAATTAAAATCGGCTGTTGAACACACTGTTCTCATTCGATCCTCAATGTAACATACCTGAAATCACTGCTCAGGTTTGATCTCTTCAGAAAGGGAACCATTGAGCAATATCTCTTGCACTGCTATAGCTTAAGTGCCTTGTAGAAATATAGCACTTTTGGGTGTTACTTGCAGTGCCAAAAGTGCCATAGTGTTTTCTTACATAAATGTCTTCGGTACGTTCTAAAAATTTACCGTATCAAATGTGATTTTCATGCAACTCTCAGTACAGTTGAATAGGGTTATTTTTAATAACAATCATCCAGTATATATATATATATATATAAAAACGGCAATATAAATAAAAACTACATTAAACAATCAATAAAAATTTTAATTTTACAAACCAGATATGAAGCAAATAGTGAGCCGTGAGTACAACAATATTGTGCATACATTCACGTAAACATACGAAAAATAAAATTAAAACTTGAGCATCTTAGAATTTTTTTTTCTTCTTCTTCTTTACAAGTCCTTTCTTTATTATTATTATTTCTTTTTCTTTAATAAAATAGTTATGATCTGAAAAAAAATCATAAAAATATAATTTTTTCTATAATTTATAATAGAAAATACATTAAAATTTCAATATTTTATTGCCTATATACTTTTATATCACAACTTAATGGACAGGAACAAGGGGGGAGATTCCTTTTAAGATAAACTGGCCTCTAAGGTGTTAGAAACGTAAAGAAAACCCTAAAAACTCCACGTGCCATCACTTGGAGAGACTCGAACACGCGACCGAACTCCCAGTATTTAGGGAATGGAACCAGTTGCCAATGGGAACGTTCCCTAAACACTGGGAATTCGTTCTGGTGTAAACATACTGTAGAGCCTCGATTATCCGACCCCCGATTAACCGACACCTCGGTTAACCGACCGTCCTAGTCGGCAAATTTCAAATGTCCGCTAGTGATGTGGCGCTACAATATTTGGCTATGTCTTGGCTACTTTAATATTATTTTCACGTGTTTTAGCTGGCAACACTCATTCGACCATGAAAGGGAGCCAGTATTTAAACGAGGCTTAATTTTCTAATTTTTAACGATACAGTAGGACGATTATTATTTTAAAAAAATTTTTGTTAGACTTAACATCGATGAAAATTCAATGCGAAGTAGGTTAATAGCGATATACTAATATACTAATTACATGGGGTATAACAATATACTACACTAATAATGGATGTTTTCATACTTTTCGGTTATCCGACTTCTCAATTATCCGACCAACCCCTGTCCCCAATTGAGTCGGATAATCGAGGCTCTACTGTATTCAAATTATTATTTATTATAAATGCTTACCTATTTTAATGGACAGATGATTTTTTTTTTNGTCGGAGTCGGAGGATTTTTTGACTACTCCGACTCTGACTCTGACTCCGACTCCGGCTAAAACTCCACGACTCCGACTCCGACTCCGACTTTTCCTTACCATCCGACTCGTCTCCGTTTCATATACATAACAAGTTGGTGAGTAAAAGGGAGTCGGAGTCGGAGGATTTTTTGACTACTCCGACTCTGACTCTGACTCCGACTCCGGCTAAAACTCCACGACTCCGACTCCGACTCCGACTTTTCCTTACCATCCGACTCGTCTCCGTTTCATATACATAACAAGTTGGTGAGTAAAAGGGAGTCGGAGTCGGAGGATTTTTTGACTACTCCGACTCTGACTCTGACTCCGACTCCGGCTAAAACTCCACGACTCCGACTCCGACTCCGACTTTTCCTTACCATCCGACTCGTCTCCGTTTCATATACATAACAAGTTGGTGAGTAAAAGGGAGTCGGAGTCGGAGGATTTTTTGACTACTCCGACTCTGACTCTGACTCCGACTCCGGCTAAAACTCCACGACTCCGACTCCGACTCCGACTTTTCCTTACCATCCGACTCGTCTCCGTTTCATATACATAACAAGTTGGTGAGTAAAAGGGAGTCGGAGTCGGAGGATTTTTTGACTACTCCGACTCTGACTCTGACTCCGACTCCGGCTAAAACTCCACGACTCCGACTCCGACTCCGACTTTTCCTTACCATCCGACTCGTCTCCGTTTCATATACATAACAAGTTGGTGAGTAAAAGGGAGTCGGAGTCGGAGGATTTTTTGACTACTCCGACTCTGACTCTGACTCCGACTCCGGCTAAAACTCCACGACTCCGACTCCGACTCCGACTTTTCCTTACCATCCGACTCGTCTCCGTTTCATATACATAACAAGTTGGTGAGTAAAAGGGAGTCGGAGTCGGAGGATTTTTTGACTACTCCGACTCTGACTCTGACTCCGACTCCGGCTAAAACTCCACGACTCCGACTCCGACTCCGACTTTTCCTTACCATCCGACTCGTCTCCGTTTCATATACATAACAAGTTGGTGAGTAAAAGGGAGTCGGAGTCGGAGGATTTTTTGACTACTCCGACTCTGACTCTGACTCCGACTCCGGCTAAAACTCCACGACTCCGACTCCGACTCCGACTTTTCCTTACCATCCGACTCGTCTCCGTTTCATATACATAACAAGTTGGTGAGTAAAAGGGAGTCGGAGTCGGAGGATTTTTTGACTACTCCGACTCTGACTCTGACTCCGACTCCGGCTAAAACTCCACGACTCCGACTCCGACTCCGACTTTTCCTTACCATCCGACTCGTCTCCGTTTCATATACATAACAAGTTGGTGAGTAAAAGGGAGTCGGAGTCGGAGGATTTTTTGACTACTCCGACTCTGACTCTGACTCCGACTCCGGCTAAAACTCCACGACTCCGACTCCGACTCCGACTTTTCCTTACCATCCGACTCGTCTCCGTTTCATATACATAACAAGTTGGTGAGTAAAAGGGAGTCGGAGTCGGAGGATTTTTTGACTACTCCGACTCTGACTCTGACTCCGACTCCGGCTAAAACTCCACGACTCCGACTCCGACTCCGACTTTTCCTTACCATCCGACTCGTCTCCGTTTCATATACATAACAAGTTGGTGAGTAAAAGGGAGTCGGAGTCGGAGGATTTTTTGACTACTCCGACTCTGACTCTGACTCCGACTCCGGCTAAAACTCCACGACTCCGACTCCGACTCCGACTTTTCCTTACCATCCGACTCGTCTCCGTTTCATATACATAACAAGTTGGTAAGTAAAAGGGAGTCGGAGTCGGAGGATTTTTTGACTACTCCGACTCCAACTCCGACTCCGGCTAAAACACCATAAGTCCACGACTCCGACTCCGACTCCGACTCCACAGCCCTGCTTAAATCTAAAAGTAAATTCATTATGAATTAATAAATGTATTTTATTAATCTTTCAACCTTTTCTGAGTCATTTAAAGAATTCCTTCGAGCGTAATATACAAAATGAATGCTCCATAAGTGGAATTTGTTAAATTTTCTACGCTTTCGGGATAATTTTATGCTAGAAAAATCAAAGTTTCAGTTGAAATGTTAAATTCACGAATTATCCGGATGAGAAAATTGCTTTGAAAATACATTAATTGAGGTAATTCGACGCTATTTTGAAGCGAAATTGTTAACTATTTCCACTTCTAGTTAAATATAATGAATTTAATTTATGAGATGTTCGGTTTATAAAGTTTATTTCATTAGAAACACAGTGTCACAGTTAAGTGTAGGCAATTTCTTAAGGTTTAATTTTAAATTCACTTATGAATAAATGAAATTTTATCTAGTGTTAACGTAGTAACATTCGCAGCTTTTCTAATAGAGTAAATGAAAACAATTAAAATGATTAATTCTTTATTTTTGGGACTCGAATCGAGATTTTTGTCACCTAATCCCGCTGATATTCCTTAACCAGGAACTGTAGAAAATCCAAATTTTGTCTAGATCCGGAAATAGCTATCACGAATATCAGAAACCGCAGATAATACGCATCTACTCTGTCAACATTTAGCAGTACATTTGACCTATGTTTAAATTTCATAAACGTTTTCTTATTTTTTCATTTAGCCTTTTCCTTTTCCTCTTTATTTATTTTTCTTTTTCTTTCCTTTTCTCCTTCCATTTCTCTTTTTCTTTTCTTTTTCTTTCTCCTTCTCTTTCTCTTTTTCTTTTTCCCTTTCCTATTATTTCCTTTACTTTTCTCCTTCCTTCCACATTTTCCCTTTCCCTTTCCCCTTTCTCTTTCTTTTTCCCTTTCCCTTCCCTTTCTTTTCTTTTTCCCTTTCCTTTCCCTTCTCTTTCCTTTTCCTTTTCTCTTTCCTTTCCCTTTCCTTTCTTTCCTTTTCCTTTTCTCTTTCCTTTCCCTTTCCTTTTTTTTCCCCTTTCCTTTCCCTTCTCTTTCCTTTTCCTTTTCTCTTTCCTTTCCCTTTCCTTTCTTTTTCTTTTTTCCCTTTCCTTTCCCTTCTCTTTCCTTTTCCTTTTCTCTTTCTTTTTATCTTCTTTTTCCTCTCTTTTTTCCCTTCCATTTGCCATTTTCCTTTCTTTCCCTTTCCCTTTTTCCCGAAGCCAAATTAATAAACAATACAGAAATGTCCGTTAATATCACATCCTCTTATAAATTGCTCTTTAAAATAGTCAAAATAAGCAATTTACAGCACAATTAACGAAAGAAAATTTATCTTTTTCTCTTAATATTGTCATCCTTAAAATCGTCTTTCAAATCAGAAAAAAAAAAATAATAATAATAATCTGCAGATATTTTCGCACAGCTTACGTTAAATTTATATTCCGTAGATTTAAAATTGCCTTATGGATCAAAATTACACCAAAAAAACTTCTTATTAAATTACATACCTCAACGAGATATCTTCCAAGATAGCACTTTCTGTAACGTTTGCGGACGGCCAACAAAATTAGATTAACCACTCTAATCCCTGGAATACTGTTTTAATGCGTTAAAAAAAATAAATTCTTATATTATTCTATCGATTTTTCTGTATATAGAATAATCACAGAAGATTCTTACTTGTACTCTTTATGAAACGTTGCACAAGCGATCAATCTGTGCTCGATCCCAACGTGTGAAGGTTGCAACGAGTATCTCTCCTGAGCAATTTTCGTTTCGTTCCTCCTATTTTCTACCATCTTCAGAAACTTTTGTAAACCTTTAAAGTATTCTTGCTTCTTATCTTCTTCTTCTTCTTCTCCATTGCTGAAAGCCAAGAAGAAAGCCATTTTTTCTCTCTCTTCCCCTCCGTTTTACCAGTCATCAACTATATCCAATTGGCAATCGATAAAAACGTTATCGCTCACCTGTCAGAATCAGAATCTAGCGAATCGCTGAAGATATTTGGAAATGGCATTTCTGTTCGGGTACATCTCTCTGTTTTGTTGCTGCTAGTAACAGAAGACACGAGACCATTTTTGTTTAACACGTCGACGTTACCTTCTTCGTTCTTCTGATCCCTGTTTGTATGGATTTCCTTTTTAAGATTCCATTTCGTTATAATAAAACTCTATATTTAAAGATAAATCTCACCTAAATATCCAAGATTTCTCTTCGTTACCATTAGGGAAACATCCCGAATTGTTACACTCTTCTTCTGAAGTGTGTTCTGGAATGGTTGAATTCTCTCGACTTGTATTAGCTTCGTCTCCGTTCTTTTTTTCAATAGGATTATTGTTAATTTCTATAGAATATAAAGAATTTATATACTAAAATATCCTACGAATTTTCGTGAAATTAGTTGAAAAGTTTCTTCCAATTCTATTCTTTTTACACGGCTTTTTCCCTTTAAAGAATAAGACGAAAGGAATGAAATATAGCAGTAAAATATATTCTATTTCTGTTGTTTTATATAAATATATATAAAATAAAACTTGGAAAAGAAAGATATGTAACTGAACATGAAAGAAAAATAAGAAAAATTGGAGTTTTTGGCCGTGTTACATACGTTTATCCCAACAAATGGAGCGATAATTCTGTCACCTTATACAAACATTTCTATTTAAATTGGTCGTTCCGAAAATAAAACTACAAGAAAGTAAACAGATCGAACTGAAATGAATTCTATTCATATAATTTCAATAGTATATATGTCACTCACAACGTCAAAACTACACGAAAGAAATCCATATAAAAGAGAACAGAAGGACGAGTTTAAAAAACAACACCATTTATTCTTACTTTAAAACTGTTTTTAATTATATAAATTTAATAAACTTACCTCCAAGAGAATCTCTTGAACCGCTTTGAATACTCGCTACACGATTCTCCCATTCTTTTAATATTTCTAGAAATATTTTCTTAGTTAATCACACCAAGTTTCATGCCAAAAAAACAACAAATTGTTGGAAAAAAAACTCACCTGACGTGTCTCGAATGAGAAGTAAGGTCTTTGCTCCTTCCAGACAGACTCTTCTATATAATTCTTCTGCAGTTTGCTCGGATAAACATACGTTATAAAGTGCAACAACAGCGTGCAATAAATCAGAAGGAGAAAGAACCTGTATTGTAGAAATTTCTCTTGTATATTGTTTATTAAGGATTAATATAAATCAATAAGTTATTCCATATTCAATGCATTAAAATCTATATACTACATTTGATCAGCATCTCTCTCTCTCTCTCTCTCTATAATCTAGATTTCTCTATAATTATTTCTTCCCTAAAATATCTCACGATATTATATTATAGAGCCCTTATATATAATAAAGAATATATCATTACAATTTTTTAACTACAATTGTCATTAAGAAATAAGAATGTATCTTTTATCTTTCTCCTCATCAAAGATGCTGGAGAGCATCTTTACAACTCTCCTCCAACTTATCTTAATCTAGTGAAAGACAACTAGGAAGTATTTTCTTATTATTTTTTCTTCATTTATTAGTTAAAAATATGTCAGGAATCTTTAAATCTTAATAATAAAGGGCTTAAATGTGATCGATTATGAATCTAATGGGATTCTTACGTTGTTAACGTAATGAGAAAACGTGGGTAATTTAAATGCGATACGTTAAAATTGAGAGAGAAATGTCACATTTTATTTATAACTTGATAGGATGATGTTCTATATTTATTTAACATAACATTTAAAATTTTCATATCTATCTCATCACTCATCTTTCTCTCTCTCTCTCTAATCACCCTCCTACAGCAGTTAGATAATTAAGAAGTTATGCTATGTTTTAAAGCTATTTTCTTTTTAAAATTATTCAAATTTCGTATATAAAATGAGTAAATTACACTGGATAATGGATAAATTAACATTGACAGGGTTTAATTCCATTGATCGTTTATATACTGACAAAGAAAAATTGAGAAGCAATTCAGATTTAGAACGATTTTCTTTAAGCAATTAGCATGTTAGACTATTTAAAGATCGTTTATCTCTTACTAAATCATCATTTATCTTCTATTTTCTATAGAATACGATCGTATTTTAGTGTGTCCTGTATAGTAACAATAATTTCGATTTCGTACCCATTAAGATAAATTGAGAGAAGAAGAAAGTTTAGCCTCTGTTATCAGTTAAAAGTGTCTTTTTATCGCTTTATATCGAAAATTTCTCACTAAAATACTTCAGAAAAAGAGAAATTACAGATAAAAGAAACACTTTTTACTGTTTCTTTACAGAACATTAACTGATGAGATTTATCTTCTTTGAAGAATTCTGTTACACTGTTAATATTTATCTCTTTTTAACACGTAATTTTAAATAATTCCTCATAAAAATGTATATTATAAAGCCCGCAGAAACCACTCCTAACATTATAAATCATGTTGTAAGTATAATAAAACATATGTGACTGAACAGGAGACGTATCTTACGTATCTTCATCTATCTTGTCAGCTTCCACGCTTCTTACTTTCTGCTTGTTTAACAAACCAACGAACAATTTGTCAAGAAAAGTTTAAGAAACACGTTAAAGACAGTTTATTTTTACTTATAGATCCTTTTAAAAGATCATTATTTTAAGGATAAACTTACTAAAGATTCTCCCAGTTACTGTGATGATAAAATATCCCAAAATTCGGCATTTGTTCACATACAAATCGGCATAGAATAAACGAGTATCATCGATTTTTCATCAATCTTATATTAACAACCCTTCACTACTTTATATATTTATAATAATATAGACACTACAACTCAGTATAATTTAGATAGGAAGCTCAACAATACGTTTAAGTATACACGTTTGATAATCTACAAGATAAAAATATAATTAAATTACCTTATAAAAGAGGGGTGCAGAAAGAAAACAATACCCTCCTTCATTTAAAAAAGAAACCATCCTTATAAGAAAGGTGCATACCCCTTAAATTACATCACACTTATTATACTTAAAGAGGAGTAACGTTATAGTGTTTAACTCTTCCTGTTCTTACAAAACTTTTATGACAAGGAAATTAACTCACCTGTTCGGAATTGTATCCCCCTAAGTTTAACCTATTCCACTCTTCTGTATTGGCAAGACGTGTTGTTTTATCCCCTCTAACGAATTTACCAAATTCTACAGTGACAGGTAATGCAGTCACTACCTTTCCTTTCTTGGTTTTGAACCGAATTCGATCTGACACGGATACAGACAGCATTTTAGTTGTATGTGCAGTCCGATCTGCTCTACCAGACCCTTTTGCAACTATCTACAACCCGTTTGTCGCCATCTGGTGAGACTACAAGCCAATTATAAACACACACACTCAACTGGTTTTCAGTGTTTATATAGACTAAATGTATGGTGATTTTCTTTCAGTCGTTTTTTTTTCTTTATTTATTTTATTTTACACACCACGTTTCATCAATTATTAAAGAGAAATTTACAGTTTATATTAAAGAAATTATTACCTTTTTTTATAAATTAATATTAATTCTATATAAAATTCATTCGTCGGTTTACATCTTAGCATCTTCATCTTCTTTATCTTCACGTCAGTTTCTTCTTCTTCTTAGAATCAATTGAACTATATAATACAATAGTGGGTTTCACAACATTTATACAATGTTAGTTAAAATTACAAGAGCTTCTGGAATTTATTTTGTCGGTGTTTATCGATCAGATAATAGAGAAATTCCCTACAGGTTAAGAGGAGGAGTAAGGATGAAGGAGGAAAAATTTGGAGAGTCAACACTAAAAGGAGTCAAAACATCACTTTTCAATTTAAAACTATGTAAGAAGAAAGACTCTTTTTTCTTTATTTTCTTTTAACTTTAAATCCTTAATCCTTAAGGGTTTTTTTTAGCTTAAGCTTTAAATTTATTACATCCTCTTCTGATTTATTTTCCTTTGTTTGTTTCCTCATCTGTCTAATAAAATCGAGATGAGACTTTTCAATAAAATTAGAAGATAATCGAGTATATATTATAATAATTACTGTATTTTTTAAATAAAATATTAACTTATTTACACAATAAAAACAACCCTATTACTTGATCTTGCTTCTGAGGCCTGAGAGAAATTTATATAACGAAGTCTTCTGTAGTTAAAACAGAGCTTTGTGCAATCAACCGTATTATTAACTATTATTTCTTTCCTCCCTCTTTATCTTGGGATCAAATTTCTTCGATTTCTTTGATAAGTTTAGCAAAACACGAAACGGGGGACGAGAAATCAAGAATGTTTCATTGAGAATAAATGGACAATACACTTCACACTTTGATCTTTTTCTATGTCTTGTAATCCACTTATCATCATTTTCTATGTCTTGTAATCCACTTATCATCATTTTCTATGTCTTGTAATCTACTTATCATCATTTTCTACAAGTTAATCTACTTATCATCACTTCGTATTGTTACAAAAGGGATGATAATTATTCTTCATCGCTTATCCTCTCTTCTCTGCGTGTTTTTGTTTGCGTGTCGAAGATCATTTAATACGAATTCTAAGGGAGAAAAAAACAATTATTTTGCACCAAATTCTTTAGAAAAATCGTAAATATTACAGAATTTATACATTAAATTTTGTTAATTATCATTTTTAGGCATAGATATTTAATACTTTACCTAAAACTCTGTGCTTTTGGAGGCCTTAAATATACACCTGTCCACATTCTAGCACGTATATTTCCAGGTATATTTTCTTCTTTTACTAATTACATGCTGCTACAGAAATTTAGAAAGATAGAATTAAATTTCATTTATTTTTTAGGGGTATAATATACTCAAGAGTCTAGACTGAAGAAAGGAACAGAGAGAGGGATGAGGAAGAGGAGGGAGGATAGTAAGCAGATAGGATGAATAATGTGTTTTCTATGAAAGGAAAGTATTGTAAAGTATTAATAATATAAAAACTTTTTTAATAAAATAGCATAACAGATGGCGCCACACACAACTGCCTTCCCTCTGTGTATGGGTATGTAGGTGTGTACTGTATGTGTTGGCATGTATTTTGTTTAATATCTCAAGATAGGATAAAGATTAAGATACGAAATTTGGCATGATAGCTTGTATACGAGGGTCATTGATGCTATTAAATTTTGGTGGTTAAAGGTCGAAGGGATGGAGAGATAGAAGGGAGTCACTTAATAATGATTTTACTCGTTATTAGCATTTACAATTGTTTATGAAACTCGTCTCGCTCCTTAAAATTAAACTTTTTGTTATTTGTTGATGATTAAAAATATAAGTTTTTTAATACGATATCATAACAGATGGCACCACCAAATGTTGCCAGGAAAGTTAAACAACTTGTTGCTGGATTTTTTTCAAGATGAATCAGTCTAGGCATTTCTTTGATTCTTCTTTNGCTACACGCAATTTTATTTATTGTGATTAATAATGTAAAAGTTATTTTTTAAATAAAATCTAATAACAGCCGGAAAAGTAACGCTGGATTTAAAAATTTACTCACTTCTTTATATACAGGCAGGTAGGCCGGAGCTGTAAGCGTACCAGGCAGTCGCCTAAGGAGCAAAAATTTAGAGGCACCTCGGACAGCTTCAATTGAAGGGCGCCAAAAATCTACCTAGGGCACCGAACTCTCCTGGTCTTGCCCCGTATAAAGGCATCTCTCGCTTAACTTCAGTTTATCATAATCATACCTCTTCAGTCTATTTGTTATTAGTCTTATTACTGAATGTACATAGCATGTAATTTAGAAAATATGTGAACTAAATTTTGGGCAGGATAACACTATCGCTTACGCAGAGAGCATTCTGTTATTGGTAACAGAAAATTCGAGAGCAGAGCTCGTACGAAAAGGTAATAACATCCCGCATACCATTGTTAAGTGTGAGAGACAATTCCAATTGGATTTTAACCCTGACAAGACTCAACGTATTGTGTTTACAAGCACGAGAAAATCTCATTTATATTCTACAATTTCCACTATCAAAATGACAGACAAATACTTAGGGGTGGCATTTATTTACATGCTAAATTGGATCGAGCATGTTAACTACGTCTCGAAGCACGCGGGAGTAATCTTTCAAATTCATTCCCGATTTGAAAAAAAACATGGGACCCTAGGTCTAACTACCATGAATATAATATATGATCATATCTTCATACCAATTATCACCTGTATTTGTGGAGTCTGGGAAGATTCTGCTATGAAAGCCTACCATCTCTGCAAACTCCGCTCTGCCAAAGTATGCCGCTGCTCTTCGTTGCAAAAGTCTACAATTTACAGACTACAAATCATATATAAAAAGTCATCATCGAATTCACAATACAGCAAGCTCTGGAACTTTCGTAAGAGGATAATCATCCATAGCAGCATAAGTGATACTGTATTACTGCCGAAGACTATGAAATGATAATTCCATACAGAACTCTATAAAAGAAGCAATAATAGGATATATTTAAGCATTATTTTTTAAGCCCCTAATCTATTGTACTCATTGTTTTTAATATTCCACTATTCTACTACGTTGGTTGTTTAAGACTTATTATATCTGAGACCGAAGAATTGAAACCAGAAACTAACAATATATTTTTAAATTTAAACATTATAATATACAGAATTTAATCTCTTGTTACATTAAATACAACGGATTAAAACTACTTTATACAATTGATATCCATTCTTCAGCCAACTCTTATTATGTCTTCGAGAAAGAGCGATTTGTGAGTATTGTCCATTCATTATACATTGTCTTTATTGCATTATTCGCCGTACAATTGATAATCATTCCTTACTTCAGAGGATATTAAGACCAAAGCTAGATTAGTTTTAAATCCCAACGAGGGAAGGAACACGTTCGGAGTTCTAGACGAGACGACCACTCTCGAATACGGCCAAGTATTTATACAATACGCGAAAGATATCGCGAGACAAGAAATTACTACAGAAACAGTAATTAAAACAGGTAGAAGTATCGTTTCTATAGATTAAGTATAATCGAAATTGTCATTGTAATTATATTATGATATTTCGGGTCGAGTGTTGGTGACAAAAAAATCCACGCACTCAATCGGGTGATATTCGAATTTTAGAAGCCATCGATGTCCCCGCTTTACATCACATTGTGGATTGTATAGTGTTTCCGCGGAAAGGGAAACGACCTCATCTCCACGAAGACAAACAGTCGAGCGTCATATTCGATGTAAGCAATTAAATGCAATTTATTTTAATTTTCAGTGAAAGTAATTTCAAATTCCTTATTTCGTAGATACATGCCACAACCGAAATGTTGAAAGAATACATTAAAAATGCTCAGATTGGTTTAATCGGAAGCCCCCACTTGGCAATTTCAGATAAATTTGGTATACATACTCCAATCTGCAAAGAGATTGCTCGAAAATTCTCTCTGGCATTAGATTATGCAAAGACTGGTTATATAGAATCCCTAGCAAGCGTATGCCAATTAAATTAATTCTCGAAAGATTTATAAATCTAATAAAATTATATTACCAACTCTAACAATGATCATTCGATATTTCAGATTAATCCTGACTTAATTTATCCCGGTTGGAAAGAGTACGAAGAATCTGCACGAATTTCCAGACAAAACTATAATCATTTTCTTCAAGTTTTGATGCAGAGATATGGTGTATACAAACGGAAACTGAGCCAATTTCTGGCGCATTTCGCAGACTTCGCGAAAGACATTCCCAAAGACACGATGCTTTCGATACCGAAAAGCTGGTCGTTCGGTCCGTAGAAACATTGCAGAAGCGATTTAGAAACGAATTTCATCAGGAATTGGGAATTTCAGCAGATACCGAAAAGATAGATCCCAGCATACTGGATGATACATTGAAGAAAGCATTGGTATGGTACGTTGTTACATACAATAGCATACAGATTAATTGGTCACTGGATGAGCAGAAACGAAGAATTCGAGCCAGAAAACAATCTTTGGCTGTTAGAATACTTTCCCTGTATTTTACAGAATTATAAGAGAAGCGGGTGATGCAGAATCAAATGTAAAGAAAGGCAGCATTGCTAATTTATGCTTGGACTTTTTAAAATATATCAGAAATAACTCTTCTCTTCCAAAAAATGTAGCTTGGATCTCTTCTTATGCCGAAGACACGTACAATGTTAAAGCCGCAACTACTATAAAACTTGTGAGATAAAATAAATTGTGTACTAAAATACAAATTTTAAAGAAATTTTCTTACTTGACCTCCCAGTAATTTCTACCATAAAGCGTGTTACTTTATAGGAGATTAAGTTCATTTTCTCCTGAATAAAGAGCCTTAAATTGAACAATTTAACATTACAATATTATCAACTTCTCTAAGAAGATCCAATGATAAACATTACTCAGGGAATTTTCAAATAATTAGTTTTCTCCCCTGCATGTTATTGAGTTGTGGAGGGGTGCGATTTTTCAACCACTTTGAAGTTGAATAACTCCCATGCATTTTGTCGAAAATTTCTGAAATTTCTCAGGAAAGTTTGTATGTTAAACGGAAATTTTTCTAGAAATTTTCAGTCAAATCGGACCATTGGATCGTGAGATATGGTACCATCTCTTTAATACCTCCCGAACCAATCTGGACTTAAAGGTAATGGTAGAAAATATGGAGTAAAACAAATAAAGAATCCCGGAAAAGTCTAGCAACATCGTTGTCAGATTTTTTTCTACTAGTTCCCGGTCCATTTTTTAAAAATTTAGATAAATAAGAAGGTATAATTCTCGGTTATTCTATTAAATCTAACACTTCTGGACACCATTAAAAAGCTCGTAAATTCTTAATATCGAGTGGAATTGATATAGGAAGTGTTGACTGTATCTAAATCTTGAAAGATTTAGAGATTAATTACGGATAAAAACTGAAGATCCAAATGAATGGATAGATTAGTTGTTAGATTCCATAAATCCTGAGTGATTGACACACAAGAAAATCGTATATTACGTTCTTTCTGGTAAAGAAAATAGGTTAAAATTATAATCTCTCGTAAGGATAAGAGAAAATAAATATAGAAAAAGCACTTTTAAATTTTAAATTAAAGAAATTCGCCCCGAGAATGACAATTATCCATCAAGAGTCGGCTTCACCGTCGAGCTCGTTTGTCTGACAGTGAAGCCGACAACTTTGTCGTTACGTCTTTTCTTCGTTCTGTATATACGCGTAATGTTATAATGTTAAAACCTTTTGAGTCCCTCCTGCTTAATATCATTGTGGCATTATATAGACACGGATATAGAACAAAAATATTAGTAACTAGACCCCCTAAGAAGACCCTAAAGTACACGTGCCCCTGAGTCTATTCGGAGTGTTTGTTAATTTCATTAAATATTACAAAATTTTAATTTTAAAAATAGAAAATATTATTATTCGAATGTAATTTACATATTCTTATATAAATATTATAATCGAAATTGTCATTGTAATTACATTATGATATTTCGGGTCGAGTGTTGGTGACAAAAAAATCCACGCACTCAATCGGGTGATATTCGAATTTTAGAAGCCATCGATGTCCCCGCTTTACATCACATTGTGGATTGTATAGTGTTTCCACGGAAAAGGAAACGACCTCATCTCCACGAAGACAAACAGTCGAGCGTCATATTCGATGTAAGCAATTAAATGCAATTTATTTTAATTTTCAGTGAAAGTAATTTAAAATTCCTTATTTCGTAGATACATGCCNGAGATGCGACACGAAGCGCCTATATTTAGTACTAATTTAAAATACCAACACGTGGTCTTTAATAAAATCCACGTTTTTACCCCCTTTTTTTTATATAGTAAAAAAAACCCTGTAGACACTAAACAAAATTTAAATTTGCATTCTCTTTACAGTTAAAATAAGTTATTCGTTTTACTAAACCACGTTTTTCCGTGTATAGCAACCTTGCGTGACGGCTACATGGGAAAATCAACAGGAAATTGTAAAATATGGGAGAAAGTCGTTATCTTCGCCTTCATCCGCTATCAAATTTGTTTAAAAAAAGATTTAAAAAAATAAAATAAAACCTGCAAATTCCCGTGCTTGAAAAGTTCCAGTTGTCAACGGTTCAATCAGGGGGGGACGAAGCATTGTATATTTTTAGTGTTTTCAGTGACATTTATCCCTATAAAGCTTATTTACTTGTCATGTGAATAAAACTATCCGTTAGAAAATATTTATAGAGCATTTTAAAAGGGTTCTACAGGGCCCCAATACCTGAATAGACCTGTGTTTTGGCTACTCAGGTATTAGGGCCCTGTAGCAAATTATTATATTGAAAGAAGTAAATGAAAAAATATTGTATAGGGCTCCTAATTCCTCGTGGTCCACTTCTTTAACTCTCCCCTCCCCTCTCTGGGCGTCAGTGTTTGCCAAAAGTACTGTACGTCACTGTAAACAACAGGGAGTCAAGTGTCTCAAAAAAGGCTCCATATTAGATCATAAGGAGAATGAGTTAAACTATTTTACATTGTTTATTTTTTTTTTATTTTTACTTCAATTTAAGGGTTATTTGTAGAAAAGAAACTTTTTATTGTATTCCAAAATACATTCAGCTTCCAAAAGAAAGAAATTTGAATATGAAATTAACCTATTTAACACATACAAAACACATTGTTTACTATTCTGTTTATGTTGTAAGTTAATACATTTTACTCTATTTTTAAAAGAAATTAAGCTATAACAATTGATGATTTTCATAAATAACCTCTTTTATTTTCTATAATTTAATATTTAATAAATTTTGTATGTAATTTATGATTCATAATAATAAAAACTGTTAATTTTTTTTTCTATTTCCAATACAAATAAAAGGGTATTAATTTAGTAATGTATTAATTAAGTTGATGATTCATTATTACAATATTAAAACAATGACATAACAATGTTTGTATGTAAATCTTGTTTATTTTCTTATTGAAATTGTTAAAAAAAAAAAAAAAAGGAGAATGAACAGTTGTATATGGCTATTATTTTTAATATAATTTTCTAAAATGACTGTACAAGACATTCTAAATTTACTATAAATGATTTTCTATAAAAAAAAAAACAACACTTGTAAATGGAAACCGTAGAGCTACACTTTGGAAGTTTTAATAAGGAAGAACTTTATTTTGGAAGTCATTCTGGACCCATAAAAATGGATTCAATCATTAAAATGAGGAATAATTTATCACTTCAAATTGTTTGATTTAAAACCTTGTGGTCTTTAGTGACTTATTTTGGACACGATTCCGGTTTTGGACCCTGTAAAAATATGTTATATATAAATATATCGGATCAAATCATAGTAATTTTATAAAACTGGACTGTATTTACCTTGTATAAATCACAAACTAAACCCAATAAATCATTTAGACCTCGATTCTGATATTCTCTTGTGTATACCTAAAATATAACATTAAATATTTTATATTATTTTTTTATATATATNATATTTTAATAAATAAAAATAAAGTATTAACCCCGTCAAAAGTGATCCAAGGCACAAAATGCAAAGGTGGCTTGAGCGAATCTGTTCTTTTAGCCATTTCGTGCTGCCAAGTATTGCCTTGTTTACTCTGTACACATTCTTCAATTTTATTATAATCGATATCTTGTCTTCTAGCACACTATAATAATAGAAATCAGATCGGAATATAATTAAGTTTTGAATATTAGAAGCGAATAAGAATGAATAGTTTTACCTTTGCCCCCGCTGCTTGTGACTGAGAGTAAGATTCCATGCATTGGATTAATGCTAAAGATTTTCGGATATCCAATAGTTTAACGGCACAAGTCTGGAAAATATTATAAAGTTCATAAGTTTATCGAGTACTTATCTTTATTAGTGTAAGCTAAATTTTTTTTTTATTTTCAATATATTAAACTATTTATCCAGATAAACTTTGACATGATTTCAATCACTATGTTCATGCTGAACTTGGATATCATCTAGAACTGGTCAAGCAGGAAGAATTTTTCCTTTATAAATATAGAATCTGCATTGCAAAAATACTTTTAACTTTTACAGTTTATTCTAGATGTTATCTGTAAACCAGAATAATATATTTTTATAAATTTAAAATTGCGTATCGTCTCGTATTCCACTTATCTCGGCATAAATCGAGCGTCGTATCGTATTCGCTTATTCCCATTAAAAATACATATCAAAGTACAAACAAGGAAGGAAAAACTATTGAATTTCTAATCATAAAATACAAATTATTACTTTTAAATTTTACTTTTACTCTTTAACGTATGATATAAAAGGTAGGAAAACTGCGCGTATTTGTTTTAAATCGCAATAAACTTTAAATTGATTTATCACATATTAAAATGGATTATAATTTTAGTTAACAATGGTTATTGTTTTCTTTAACCTTCGAATGATTTTACAATATTTCGCCAAACTATTATAGAATTTTCTATAATGGCATTGTCCGAAATCAATGTTTTACGTCCCATAAAACATTCGAAGGACTTTAACATTAATAAAATTGCAAAATAATTTAAATGCAAAATTAAAATATAGTGTAAAATCATGTACATAATGTAATAAGTGAAACTGTTTTTCCTTGTATTGGCTTAATTAGTTGGACTTTTGGACTATTCATTAATCATGAGTAATGAATAATCTGTTAACAAATATAGATCAATATCAACAGTTTAAATTTCAAACCAGATAAAGTAAAAGATAAATATAATGGGAATATATATATATATGTGTGTGTGTGTGTGTTTGTTTTAATATCAGATAAAAGGATCCTTGAAAAATATATTTTTAGTAACTTTAAATTAGATAAAATTGCACAAAGCTTTTACAATGAGTAAGCAAAAGTCTGTCTAGAATCCATTTCTGCAATGTATTAAGAAAAAGGGATTACATTGCATGTACTGTATAAACAATAACTATATATCCAAGAAGCTACTACTGTATACCAAATTTATTATATATGACTCATATGAATTAATATATATATAGTATTAAATTAACAATTACTAATAAATTATCTTATTTCCTTATTTCAAGTAGTATGTGTTAGTGGACTACAATATATATAGTTTTTCAACTTTCGGCATGCTTGTTTTAAGCTCTCTTTGCCTCGCAGATGCTAAAAAAGGCCTTTTTTACAAGCCCGTTACGGGTCGCGCCTGGGCCACAACTGGTCGTGCTGGGCGACGAGGGAAGAAACCCAACATATCCGGACAGATAACCAGCCCCAAAATATTCCTGGGATTTTTTCTGACTGCATTAATTCATACTTGGATCCGTCAGGGTAGTAGGATGATGCCTTAACTGCATCAGCTATCCGGCTGGTAACTTTGACATACTACACCTCTCGTGTTTCTTAGAGTCAGACTATGATCTTTTATTATAGACAAGACTGAAATTTTAGAGATTGTAGTTCTCGCGACTCTTCTCTGATTACGGCAAGATGTAAAAGAACTTTTTTTCCATTTTCCAAATAGGAATTACTTAATTTTAAGATAGAAACTAACAAATAAAACCAGCTTCGACGACTAAATTTACAGAAAAATTATCTATTTTTTTCCATAAACTTAAATGCATACAATAAAATTAAAACCATAAAACCATTTCGAAACCAAATATGTCATATTTTTCTTCTCGAGTTCATTAAATTTTAAGCTTACTTGTATTATGTTTCCGTAACATTCGTCGGGTCCATGTTGACAGTGAAAGAGATACGTTCCATTATTTAATTCGGTTTCCTATGTGTCATAAAATTGCATTTATTAATTTATGTAGTCACATTTACAATAGTCCTATGCATAAAAAGAAATTTAATTCTCAATAAAATTATGGAATTTCCTTACATAAGCTTTACCGTACGGTACCAAATCAACGTTGATTATATCAGAAACCGCTTGATACGTCGGCCATAATTGATCCAGAATGAAACGTTTGCTATCCGGACAGAGGGTTTCGTAATAAACCGAAACCAGCACGGGTTGAGCGGTTAATTCGCCTTTTTCTAAAGGAGAAACCTGTCCAAAAAAAAACAGAAAAAGAATTAATTTTAATTAAATAAATATATTTCTACTATTCATACAAGTTTATTTACTTAATAAATATGTAACCAGTTAATACATTAAATTATTTCTAGCTTAATAATTATTATTTTTTTTTTTTCTTTAACAATTTAACTTATAATACTGTATTCTTAATGTAACTATTATAAAGATCAGACTTGGCTATGGTTTCAATGATTTTTTTAACCTTATTTTTCCCATTCTCAAACCATTTGTTTGTATGTAAACCAGAGTTTAAACTTAAAACAAATACATTATATCTTTTTCTAGATATTATCTCGAAGAGAAAATAAGAAAATTGTATTGTTAAACTATTCTATAAAGATCAAAACAATAAAAAAACACTTGATTTTGGATCATAATCATTGCGGGTTATCTGGACCATTCGACTGTTTGTAAGTCTTATTCATAAAGATTTTCCTTTTGTTAAAGGTATGTTCTCATTCGCACATTCTCCACTATGAAAAAACCCTTATGATAAACGGGTCTAATAATAAAAAATGTTACATAAATCAAGCAATAACGCATAACAAAAGATTAAATGTCAATCTTTAATCCCTTTTATATATAAAAGTTTTAAACAAGATACTGTATATAAAAATAGTATTTATAGGTCAAGTCGGTCCGTATATAAACACTGGTAAAAATCTTGCTTCCGCCCGAAACTCGCGTTACTTTATTAAAATACAAGTCGACCCCCCATAACACTGTCGATAATTCCGTTTTATACGAATTCCGTGTTGTACGAGTCACTTAGATTTTAAAAATACGTGTGTGCCGGGCTGTGAACGGCTCGCGTATTTATAAAATCTAAGTGACTCGTACAACACGGAATTCGTATAAAACGGAATTATCGACAGTGTTATAGGGGGTCGACGGTATACAAAATTAAGGGAAAAAAAACATTCAAAATTTCACTCCATTTAAAACGTGGGTTTAGTATAAATCTTAGTATTTAATCTCTGTATGAGTGAGTTTAAAGTGATTATACGCTCAAAAACGCTCATTTTACGTGACTTTTAGCTTGAATTTAACATAGGAATTCGAATTATCTCATGATTTTCTTAAATTATATTCAGTTTAAACCATTTTAAATCCTTCTAATATTAAATACAATGGTTTTCCTATTGAAAGATTTATAAAAAAATCTCTTAAAGATAATTACGTGAAAGAAATAATCCATAATAAATTTCCATTCTTTAGATAAGAATTACCTGTAAAATACAATAAAAACTTTCCATTCAAAGTACCATAAAAATATATAAAAATATTCTAAATAAATACTATATGTTTTATATTATTATATATTCTTTATACCATAAATATAAATATAATTACCTCTACTTTTATAGCACCAGAAAGCCAGTATAGAGTAAGGAGCAGAGCAGTACATCCCAGTCCAAGCATCTTGAACCTACTGACCATAGAGAATCTCCACATCCTAGTTATCTCCATCGGTCACGTGATCATTTGCCGAAACACTACGTCACACTACCCGTCTGACGTCAAAAGAAAAGGCTGTCGAAGGACCTGTAAAATATTCCCTACCCGTTATAATACAACGTTCAAGGTTAATACTTAAATTTGTATAATAAAAAACAAAAAAAAAAAAGAACCGTCCCTACGATTATTACGTCAACATTCTCTTCCCTTAGCTTCTTTAACGACTATCAACGCCATCTGGAGATTCCTGTATTGTGTATCGGTGACAGGAACGGAATAATTCGTAAAATATTACTAATAAAATCGTTACATTTAACTTATATTTTAGTATTAACAATCAGTAATTTGTTAGTAATAAATTATTTATATTTTTTTAATTAGTTAGGGAATTATAATTCGGTAGAAAACTTCCCCCCTTTTTTCCCTTTATAATCACCCGAGGGGTAATAATAACATTCTGCCAAGTGTATAACGAATAAAGAAGAGAATTTTAAAAGCTTAAAATGTACTCGAGAGAATAATAAAAGGAAATACAGTAAATACAGTAAACGGTTTTACTTACATTGTTTTTCACGACACAAGGATTTCAAACCGAATTATTCTTTAAAGAGTAATTCCTCTACAAAGGGGCATTAACCTATTTACTCGGTCACGGTTGAAGAAAACCGCTAACATTGTTAAACTCGGTTTACAGTTGTTCTATACATTTTTATCGCCGATATTTAATTGGCTTCCAAAATATTCCCGTGTTTTAAATAAGACTTTATTACCAAAGACTTTATATTGTATGGATTATTTCAATGACCCGTTTTATAATGACATTCAAGTGTTTCACAATTATTTTTACATATAAAAATATCATTTTGGCAGGGTATTTTGGAAGTTTAAATGGTAAAATATACAAGAATTACGAGTTGAATAACCTTAAAAATGAACCCACCCTGACCAATAGAGTACTGTAAAGTCAAAACCTGTTAAAGAGAATTTTAATAATGAATTTTTTAAGGCAGGAAAAGTGACCTTCAGACCTTCAATAAAGGACATTTTTTCCCTCCCTCCCTTCCTCCCCATTAATTTAACTTGTAGAAAGGTAAATCATATGAGGAATTTTAATACAATTTTATAAGAAATTCCTCTACTTATTTTTTCTTTCTTTCCTTAATTAATTTCAGGTATTGATTTATTTAATATTATTTAATTAATTAATTAAACATTTAAAAAAAAAAAAAAGAAATTAATGTTAATTTATCATTTATAATGATGTAATTAAATGTCACATTACTTAATAATGATGACACCAATTTATGAGGGGGGAAGTATAAATCATTTATGAAATAAAAATTAAATGATTTAGAATATGATGAACATTACCTTATCTAGTCACATCATTTGTAAACATTGCAAAATATCTTTTTCTACGTGTAAAATTTATAGGTTGGTTGACCTGTCAAACCAGGACATGGGTCAAGTGTGTGTGTGTGTGTGTGTGTGTGTGTGTTTGTAACCATTCAATGGAACGTAATTTCATCATTTTTTAAGTAAATTTAATATGAATTTATATGTCTACGTTATATTATGTGTATTATTTGATTAATATGTAAGTTTTTTTTTTTTAATTTTTATTTAATTAATAAATAAATATAACTTTTATTAATTTTATTTAACGCTAGATGGTAGCACTGTAGGGAAATCTTCTACAGTTCATTTTTTTTGTATTTATTTGAATTTTTTTTTTTTTATTTTTATGTAAAAATTGAAAATATAAAATGATTTTAAATATTCTCAGATACGTCTTTAGAATTTTTTTAGATTTTATAACATTTATTTTGTCCCGAAGAAAACATTTGCCATCCATCACACAAGTTTTATTTGATTTTAGTTTATCGGGTATTTTCAAACGACAGTATCAAATCTTATACAAAACCAAAGCAAATACTTGACAGATATTTTATATATCATGATAAATTGTTCAATACATGTCAAGTCTTAGAAACATTACATTCCACTACAGTAAATTGATAAAATAAAATGTCAAAATGTATATGATCTACGTATATATATATTCATCACTCAAAGAAGAATATTTTCCCATTATTATTAAATAATTTTTTTAAAAAATACACTTAAAATATGAATTAATAATAATAATTATTATTATTATTATAATTTAATTTACTCCTACCAGATGGCAATACAATAACATAATCAGTTAATTTAAAGCGCCATCTCTTATCGAAAAGTGTAATTATAATTTTTTATCCCCCCAAAAATAAGAAATAAATGATTTATGTATTGGCCCTAATAATTCATTTTATTATTTGATTTATAATTAATTTTAACGGTTTAAAATTGAGTTTATTAGAAATCAATACGGCAAGAAAAAATAGTTGTAAAAATAGAAAAAAAAGTAATAGAAATGTCATTAACCTCAATTCATTCGTATCTTTTGCCAAAAATTCCGAGGTCAACATTCTCTGTCCATTTAAAAAATCGTCAAAAACATATATATATATATATATAGGGAAAAATCCCTGAAGTCACGTGCACAGATTGTACACAATGTATTCGACTTTCTCTCCCCCCCCCTGTAAAACTGGGACATAGGGCCAAACCCAACACCAGTAGAATCTTAAAAATGTAGGGGAAATAAGCGAAATTCCATATTTAACACCAAGCCTACTGTATGAAAGGGAAGTAAAAATGGAGAGAGAGAGAGAAAGAGGAGAAGAAGAGGGGGGAAAAACACCCGAAAACAAAGTTATAAACCTCCCAAAAATAGGATCCAGTGTGCGTAGATGGTAATCTGGGGGCACAACGGGGATACTTTCAAGGCCAAAAGAGATATGGCAGGGGTTCTTTTACCGACAGTGATGCTCGTTGCCCAAAAGGTCGTTAACGGCACCCCTATGGTGATTGGATTAATTATAACAGAATGTAGCGAAGTGTAATTTGTCTAGTTCCTAATATTATTGGTTCCTGAATTAATTTTTGTTATGTCCAGTTACTGACTCCTGGGCTTTGTTGATTATAGTAATAATAAACATTCTGGTAGTTCTTTATGAATTATTTATCGTTCCCTTTTTGAATTATATATGTTAAAGTGTATAGGTTTATAGTTTATTTCTGTTTATTAAAGCGGGTGATTAAATTATTTCTTATAAAACTCGACAGATGAATTTTATAAATTGAAATTTTTACTTTTTTTAATTGGTTGAAATTAACTAGTGTTATGACGTAACAATTAAAAAAATTAACTAGTTTTAAAACGTAACAATTAAAAATTAACTAGTATTATGACGTAACAATTAAAACTTAACTAGTATTATGACGTAACAATTAAATATTTAACTAGTTTTAAGACGTAACAATTAAAAATTTAACTAGTTTTAAGACGTAACAATTAAAAATTAACTAGTATTATGACGTAACAATTAAAATTTTAACTAGTTTTAAGACGTAACAATTAAAAATTTAACTATTTTTAAGACGTAACAATTAAAAATTAACTAGTATTATGACGTAACAATTAAAACTTAACTAGTATTATGACGTAACAATTAAATATTTAACTAGTTTTAAGACGTAACAATTAAAAATTTAACTAGTTTTAAGACGTAACAATTAAAAATTAACTAGTATTATGACGTANTGTTAATTTATCATTTATAATGATGTAATTAAATGTCACATTACTTAATAATGATGACACCAATTTATGAGGGGGGAAGTATAAATCATTTATGAAATAAAAATTAAATGATTTAGAATATGATGAACATTACCTTATCTAGTCACATCATTTGTAAACATTGCAAAATATCTTTTTCTACGTGTAAAATTTATAGGTTGGTTGACCTGTCAAACCAGGACATGGGTCAAGTGTGTGTGTGTGTGTGTGTGTGTGTTTGTAACCATTCAATGGAACGTAATTTCATCATTTTTTAAGTAAATTTAATATGTATTTATATGTCTACGTTATATTATGTGTATTATTTGATTAATATGTAAGTTTTTTTTTTTTAATTTTTATTTAATTAATAAATAAATATAACTTTTATTAATTTTATTTAACGCTAGATGGTAGCACTGTAGGGAAATCTTCTACAGTTCATTTTTTTTGTATTTATTTGAATTTTTTTTTTATTTTTATGTAAAAATTGAAAATATAAAATGATTTTAAATATTCTCAGATACGTCTTTAGAATTTTTTTAGATTTTATAACATTTATTTTGTCCCGAAGAAAACATTTGCCATCCATCACACAAGTTTTATTTGATTTTAGTTTATCGGGTATTTTCAAACGACAGTATCAAATCTTATACAAAACCAAAGCAAATACTTGACAGATATTTTATATATCATGATAAATTGTTCAATACATGTCAAGTCTTAGAAACATTACATTCCACTACAGTAAATTGATAAAATAAAATGTCAAAATGTATATGATCTACGTATATATATATTCATCACTCAAAGAAGAATATTTTCCCATTATTATTAAATAATTTTTTTAAAAAATACACTTAAAATATGAATTAATAATAATAATTATTATTATTATTATAATTTAATTTACTCCTACCAGATGGCAATACAATAACATAATCAGTTAATTTAAAGCGCCATCTCTTATCGAAAAGTGTAATTATAATTTTTTATCCCCCCAAAAATAAGAAATAAATGATTTATGTATTGGCCCTAATAATTCATTTTATTATTTGATTTATAATTAATTTTAACGGTTTAAAATTGAGTTTATTAGAAATCAATACGGCAAGAAAAAATAGTTGTAAAAATAGAAAAAAAAGTAATAGAAATGTCATTAACCTCAATTCATTCGTATCTTTTGCCAAAAATTCCGAGGTCAACATTCTCTGTCCATTTAAAAAATCGTCAAAAACATATATATATATATATATAGGGAAAAATCCCTGAAGTCACGTGCACAGATTGTACACAATGTATTCGACTTTCTCTCCCCCCCCCTGTAAAACTGGGACATAGGGCCAAACCCAACACCAGTAGAATCTTAAAAATGTAGGGGAAATAAGCGAAATTCCATATTTAACACCAAGCCTACTGTATGAAAGGGAAGTAAAAATGGAGAGAGAGAGAGAAAGAGGAGAAGAAGAGGGGGGAAAAACACCCGAAAACAAAGTTATAAACCTCCCAAAAATAGGATCCAGTGTGCGTAGATGGTAATCTGGGGGCAC